ACAGGACGGTTGTCTTCGACCCATAGCTCCAACCCAGACAACACCAAACGTCCCTCGGACGTCCTAAAAACGTGCGAACGTCCCACGTCCCATTGCTGACGTCCAGCGGACGTCCCACGGATGTCCGGGGCGGCATAATCCGGAACACGTCCCAGCGCGACTGTAACCAGGACACGCGTTTTTTTTTTTTTTTTTTTTTTTTTTTTTAACGATTACAGCAGCGGCTTTACGCACTGTCACCGCACAAGATCGTGGCTCGTATTGCAATCGTCGCTTTTGGTTCAGCCGTTAAAAAAATCAGTTTCGAGTTATTTTGGGTTTTGATCATCCGCGCTTACCGTACAGTCGGCGACATCAATTGGTACTCGATTTCGAGTACAAATTGCACCGCTCTTTCTCCGCAATAAATGTGCCGGCGTGCAACCACGGCGAACGGAGGGAGCCAAAAACAGAAAAAGCGACCTATCGTATTTCTTGAGTCTTGTCGTCAACAGAATCACTCCCGTTGCTTCGCAGACACACCAAGAGCAAGAGCGATAGTAAAAAGCCCTAAAGGTAGCTGTTTTAAATTCTCAGGTGCACAAGAACAAAAATTATGTTAAAAAATTAACCGCTTTAAATACATTCGGAAGCGAAACTATAGCGAAACCGAAACGGACCTAAAACTCGGTTAGTTTCTATTTTTAGTTTCACATTAAGCATTTTTATACCATATATTTATATATTTTTACAAATTATTTTTTTAATAAAACATAGATTATTATATTAGTGAAATTAAGTAATTCACTCAGAGCTTTCAATCGCCACCGCTGTGCAATCATCATCATCATTAATAGCGTGCGCGCGGGAAAGCCGGGAAAGCTGCAGCAGCCCTACAGCCGACTACAGTAAGGAGTGCTGCCGTGCTGCCGTGCTACTGCGGTAACCTGAGAACTCACTTGCCACCATGGCTGGAGGAAGTAAGTATGATTTAACGTTTGTTTGGAGCTAAGGGTGACAGTCGGGATTTTTACCAAACCGGTCCCCTGATCCGTCACCGCGGCATTGAGCCTCGCGCTCCCCCTTTGAAGCAGCGCGCGGCCAGAGGGCTACCGCGCTCGCAATAGCCAACAGTAACGCTTTGCTAATACTCCATATTAAGTGACATGACTTTAGGCCGAATAATGAAAGTGTTACAACATTTCCATCGTTCGCAGAGCTTGGCTGTTGCAAGACAAGGCGAGCCACTCGAAGATCGTAGACATGGACAATATGGCTGCTCTACCCAGAACAACAGCTTATCGGCGCGTTCGTCGCGCGGCGGAAAGCGATCTCAAACTTATACTGTCAGTTAGTAGAGAAAATGCAATGTGCTCAGCTGAAGCTTTGGATGAGGCTTCTGTAGAAAGGCCCGCTGGGTCGCCGGAACTAGTTGCAGGAGCGCCGCAAAAACACGCGGGATCGCCGGAACTAATTGCAGAACCATCACGTCTCTCGTATCAGCAAGATGTTCTGACAACGTGCTGTTTTTCTGAGACTGTGCCTGATACTCCGGAACCGGTCTTCAGTGCAAGCGCCATTCACTCGAGACGAAGCGTCCCTGTAGATTCGGAAGGCTTGCCTTACAGACGTGAACACCACTTAGAAAGAGACATTCGAAGGAATGTCGAGTTGGATGAATTGTCTGAATCAGAGGAATCTGACGTTTCACCTTTCAAGGAAAAGCTGCGGCGATGGAGCGTAGAGGGGGCTGTTCCTCATGATACCGTTACAAAGCTCCTGAAGATACTGCACTCGCATTCTTGTTTCTCAGACCTCCCAACATGTGCCAGGGCACTTTTGTCTACACCAAGAGTCACTGATAATGTGAGGCCCATGGATACCGGCCATTACTGCCATTTAGGCTTGAGTGAGGGGCTCCGGGCAGCGCTGCAACCTGTGCGCAATATACCGGATCCAATAATCCTTCATGTGAATGTAGATGGATTACCATTGACGAGAAGCACGCGGGATCAGTTCTGGCCCATTCTCTGCCAAGCTGCTAACTGTGCAGGCAGTGACCCATTTCCAGTTGGTGTCTATCATGGCCAGTGTAAGGCTCTTCAGTCAAATGTCTTCCTTAGTCCGTTTGTGTCTGACCTAAAAGTTGTTCTCTCTGAAGGTGTTGCTATTGGCAACAGGGTCTTCCGAGTACAAGTTGGAGCAATAATCTGCGACGCGCCTGCCAAATCATACATTCTTGGCACCAAAGGGCACAGCGGCTACTTCAGTTGCTCAAAGTGCACGACTGAAGGAGAATTTGTGCGGGGACGAATGTGCTTCCCTGATCTTGATGCTCCATTACGAACAAATGCTAGCTTTAGGCGTGCAGAGCAAGAGGACCACCACATCATGGAAACTATCTTAAAAGAACTTCCCATAGATATTGTTGACCAGGTGCCACTTGACTATATGCACCTCATCTGTCTGGGTGTTGTGCGCAAGCTTGTACTCCTTTGGCTGAAAGGTGATAAAACCTACCGCATTGGAAGTGCATCAAGAGATTCTGCGTCGGGAGCTAACATTGAAATGAGGCACTATGTACCATCAGATATGTCTCGGAAGCCACGCAGCTTGTCCGACATTGATAAGTGGAAAGCGTCAGAATTTCGCTTGCTTGTACTTTACACGGGGCCAGCGGTGCTGAGGTCAAGGATCCCCAAGCCTCTGATGGACAACTTCATGACACTTCACTGTGCAGTCACCATACTTTGCAGCCCATTACTTTGTAGAGAGCACTTAGGGTATGCAGAAAGGCTCTTAAGGCATTTTGTTGAGACCTACATAACACTATATGGTAGACATGCAGTCTCTCACAATGTTCATGGCTTGATTCATGTGGCAAGCGACGTAAGAGTTCATGGACCTCTTCACAACTATAGTGCTTTCCCATTCGAAAATTACATGCGTAAACTCAAAAGCTATGTACGCAAACCAGAAAGGCCCTTGCAGCAAGTCTACAATCGAATCGTAGAAGAACGATTTTTGGTTGCATGTTCTGCTGTCAACACTGAAGAGTCAGCAGCGTCGACTCCACCCGTCTCCTCTGTATTCCTTGGAGGAGAAAGTTTCAAGCTGACAGCAAGGCATGAAGGTCGACCATTGCCGCTCGGATGCATTGGACCTCAGTACAAGACCGTGACGTTTCCTGCTGGCCTCACCATCAAAACAAACAAAAAAGACTGCACTTGCATGTTAAAAGACAAGAGTATCATCAAGGTTGAAAACATTGCACGCACTGCAGTGAACTATCAACCAGTGTTGGTTGGAAGGAGGTACCAGAGTCTAGAAGACCTTTACAGCTATCCCTGCAGTTCATCATTGCTGAACATCTACCTTGCATCTGAACTGTCTGACATTCACTTCTGGCCACTTTCAGAAATTGCATTGAAATGCGTGAGACTCCCATTGGCAAACAAATTTGCCGTTATTCCAATGGTGCACCTACAGTGAAATTTTTTTATGGCTGCTTGTTTATTAATAATCTAGTTTGTGATATTGTTTGTAGATGAACTGGACAAGCTAGTTTGGTTTTAGTATGCAGCATTAAAGAGGGAAAAATAACTCGGTGGACATGCAAATGCTTGCCTTTCCTGCTTCGCTCAGGTGACAAGTTTGCTATTGTAGCATTTCCTGAAGAAGATCACAGCTTGGCCATTATTCACAAGACATGGCTCGTTGAAAACACTGAAACAACATTTTGGCCTAAGGAAAAAAATCCTAACAAGCGTCGTCGAATGACAATCGAAGGCGTCAAACCACAAGACAGTTGGATGCAGGTCAAATGCCTGATCAAGGACTGGGCTGGTAAGTGCTTTTTTGCTCTAAATTCTTTCCAGTTCTCAATGCGTAAATTTCTTTCAGACACATATGAGAAGGCGCTGGAGAAACTTCAGGCTCTGGAGTATACGTCAGACTTCACTAGTGAAGAAGAGCTAGGTCGTGGCAAGCGAAAACGCCGTCCGACCTTTCCTTTTGATTATGATGACAGCACCGACACTACAGGTTCCGACGATGAATATGAACCACCAAAACCACCCACGCCATCCCAGCCACGGAAGAAAACAGGTATGGCATCGTGCATTGTTGGCCATGCTCTAGGACAGTTGAAAAAAATAATTCTTTGAAAACATCTAGTGTAACTTCAAACGGCTTACTACCAACTATTCCTCCTTTTCCAGGTGCCAACTTCTCTAAGTCACCTCTGCATCACTCTGGTGTGTATACCTTATGTCTCTTCAGTGCATGTTCAGGTACATGGATTGAGTAAGTGTGACTAATTCCTCTGCAGCCCTGTACGAAACTGTCACGTCCCAAGCCACATCCCAAGCACATGCCCAGTCTTCACGCATGCAGCCACAGTACATAGGTAACTGCTTGTGCACAAGGTGAGTGTTCTGTAGATAATTTAATTTTGATTCCAGGTCTCGACAATGTCCCGCTTGTACACGCATCCCACACGAACAGGATGATGTCCCGCTCGAGCATCCAGCCTGCAGGTAGATCTTGCAGCTAAAGTTATGTTTTATGGATTCGACTCCTTTCTTTCTCACATGTTCTTGAATTTCCTGTTAACATTCAGCATTTTGTAGAGAATCTGTTTTCAATTTCAGGTGATGACTTGGGTCCACCTGTGCACACACCATATGCGAACATTTTGCCCCATTCAAGTATCCAGCCCACAGGTAGATCTTACAGCGGAAGTTGCATTTGATGGATTTGACACATTCTTTTCTCGCATGTTCTCAGATTTTCTTTAACATTCGGCATTTTGTAAAAAAACGCTTTTTGGTTTCAGCCCACAGCGTCCCCCCAGTGCACACCCTATACAGGAGCAGGACACCTCACTCAAGCATCCGGCCTACAGGTATATCTTGCAGTTTAAGTGGCATTCGATAGATTTGACTCATTTCTTTCTCACATTTTTTTAATATTTTTATAGCATTCCGCATTTTGTACAAAATTGCTTTTCAATTTCAGGTGCCAATGATGTCCCTCTAGCGGCGGCAACACTGTGGCAGCAACACCACGGTGAGTTTTATTTTGTGAATGCTAAAGTTTTCATATCCTTCGAAATAACATCAAAGCTGAGAACTGTTATGTACTGACTGACAGACTGGCGCTTATCAGCTCGTGGCCACTCGAGGAGCGTGGGCACTGAGCGCTCGAGGCTCGGGGTGCGCGGGCAGACGAACGCCGGGCTCCGAATTGATTAAACCGATTTGGCCAGTGGTCTCCTGTGAACCGACTCGATGTAACAAGAACAACATTTTATAAAATTTCAGATGCACCTGTAACCCCTATGAACATGTCTCACCCTGGCACTGGACGGGTAAACACGGATGCACAAGTGCCTGGTATGTAATATCTATTTAGATCTTCAATCACAAACAAATTTTGCTATAGTGGTTTTTGGGCTTCTACTTCTTATGCTGTGTGCATGACAAAGACGATTCGGAAAAGGTATTGTGTCTAGAAACTTTTTTTTCTAATGAGTGTGAGTTGTCATGAGGGGCATGGCTTTCCTAAAACATACAATATATGTCAGGAAGCATTATTTATCTTAGTGTTTTTATTTAAAGAGGCACTAAGGTGGTTTCTGAATAAGATTGTTCTTGATGTTATTTTATAGGTGCCAGCTAACAAATATATCCAGTGCCAGATTACGAAACTGCCTATGTATCTCGAGGCAACAGAAATACATGCATACTATACACACTAGAGCAATGAAAACACTTGAATGTGTGGAGATTTTGACTGTTTGTACTATTATATCTTGTTTTGAAAAGAAGTCCGATCCACACATTCAGAAATCACGCCACTCAATGGCTGCACGAAAAGCCATCGCTAGCATTTGTTGGCTGCCTCACAGTAATATTCACCTCGGAGAAGGGGGCGTGTAACAATCTTTAATCACGTTTTTAGTAAGAAAATGGGTCACGCCTGATTGTGTAATTTCAGGTTTTCAGAACGCTTGGAGCACTTAGATTGAGTTATTGCCACTAAAAAGCTCAGAAACTGCTTTCGTACTCCTTTAACTTTGCTATATCACGGAGAGTTACTATTTCATGTTATGTCAACAGTTCTGCAATGAGGATGCTACTGTGGCTGCAAGATGGAGCTCTGTTCTGTTCATTTCAGTGTTTATGGAAAGGATCCTGTTGGCACTGAATTCCATCAAGGTGACACAGCAGACCCACTCTGAGTACTTTAGCTTGCTGCTCAGAACAACCGAAGATGCCCCACTTGATCCAGAGGGCCTGCCGGACTTGCCTTTTTCTACAGAACAGGACTTTGTGCGCTTCGACAAAGAGCTGGAGGTCGACAAGAGAGCAAGACTTCGTATGGTAAATGATGGTTATTCTAAACTAAGCTCTGTATTTTGCATCTATGCATGATTGAACTTTTTTTGTTGTTATGAGCAACTGTATTTTTGGAACTCCATCTTGTAGATATTCAGGTGATAAAGGTTTGTTTACCAGGTGCCAGAGTTCAATTACAAGCATAGCTCATAATAGAACCTCATTAGATGCATGAACACAATTTCGTGTTAGTAATCACATTTCATGACTGAATTCCTGAAAAGATACTTCAGTGTTGCCAATAAAATCTCATTTCTTAAGTTTAGATATAACTGACTTTAATTTGCATCATGTGTATATGTCGGTCACTCTTACAGTACCGAGAAAGCGAGTCAAAATTGGGCGGAAATGATCTCATAGTGCCCATACTTCTAAGCATGTAGTTTTGTTTCTAAGATTCTATCACGATTCTTTCATTCCTAGGACATCACCAGAGTGGAACCACCTTCCGGCGTCATTAATATTATTACCCTCGTTAGATATGTTTAAAAGTGCTGTTACTAATTATTTTTGCGAAAGTGACCCGTGACCTATTCCATGTCTTCTATTACTGTTTGTTGTTGTTTTTTCACTCACTCCCCTCTGTAACGCCCCCAGGGCCTTGAGGGTATGTAAATAAATAAATAAATAAATTTATGTGCATCCGTAGGGAAGATGTTCCTGCTATGCCATCAAAATCGATATCTCGACATAGCTATTAGAACTACGGCACATTTTGAAAATTTTTCAGTGTTTTAACAATGTGAATGCTTTATGTGCCAGTGGTGATAAAACGCTTAAGAACCACTATGCTTATGAAACCACACTAAGATTGTGATATGCTTAAAATTCTAAATGAGTTAGTAGTTTAATGTTAGCCCATATTTCTGATCTGATTGCTGTTTTGATTCTTTTTTACCAGAGACAACACATGTTAGTTCAAGGAGGTGATACACCTAAAGAACGGACCACCCGAATTTTGAGAAGTATACTATCTTCAAGTGTCGCAGCCGAGTACAGCTGGTGTGGCGCCAAGGGAAAACGCAAGTTTTCTGATCTCAACATCTGCAAGCTCCTGTGTAGTAAGTTAGATATCTGAACCTGCACAAGTGCAATTCTTAGTATGTACTGAAGTCTAATATAAAATAATAGTGCAAAACCTTTTTGGCAAGTTAGGTGTATAACTTGATATAAGAGTGTAACAAATTAAATAATTAGAGCATATTTTCCAGTGTGTAAGTCACTGTTTTTTTCCCCACTGTTACATTGATGTTCTTATAAAGCAGAGCAGTTTATAACAGGCAACTGCACTTGTCCCGCCACCAACCACCGAAGAAAAAAAGACATGTTCTTATTTCTTTAAAATGGTACACAGTAACGGTCCTAGATCCACGAGACGTAGCCTTCAGGTACCGCGGATCGGCTTTTCCACATAATCAATGCCCGGGAATGTGATGGCTACCTGTAGAAGGGTTCTGTATCCTTTCATAGATGCACGTTTCACTGACAACTTTTTATTGAACCACATTTCATTGACACTACTTACACAAAGCACATGCCGCTGCGTCATCTAGCTGTTCTGGCTACTTTGAGCACCAGTTTTTATTTAGAAGTAGTGCTTGCAACTAGTTTCTGTTCATGAGAGTAGTACTAGTTACTAGCATCTTGAGCTAGTCACTTACTATTTCGCTAGGTGGATTGCATTGGACTTTTGGCTTTATTTTGCTGATTCCGGCAAGCTAGGCTTTCTAACAGACCGCGTTGCACACTGTCATCCCTTGCTTCACTCCGCTTGGGAGTTTAACATTTCCTCCGGCTCCCGCCTTTGGTAAGCCTGTTTGGAATCGCCAAAGGCTCAGCAAGCTAGGGTAGTAATGGGGATGGCGGAAACAGAATGTCGGCAAAGAGGCTCCGCTTTATTACATGCCAACAACATCCAGGCCACCAAAGAGTACATGCAAGGCTATGTCGCGAAGAAGAGGCTGTTGAGGGATCTGTCAATGAAATAGCATTCGATGAACTGATTGCTACTGCTGTAGAGTGACACAGGCACATCAAAACAATTTTGCTTCAAGGGTTGTGTTTCTCATTTGGTTCGTTTGCAAGAATAATGAAATTGGTTCCTGCTTATGCATACTTCGCCTGAAGTTGTTGATATGGCAGTTAGCTTGACTGCATAATGCAGGTCACATTTTTTCTGCCAGTCTAAAATATCTTGCTGAACTTGACAACAACTTTTTTATATGCAGGCACCCTCACCTACCGTCAAAACTTGGAAGAAGCCAAGGCAACTAAGAAGGACGTAGAAAAAGCAGGCATGTCGTGGCTCCGTCATGCTGCTGAGCGGGCAGCGGCAGAAAAAAAGTCCATGGGAAGGAAGGACGGCACACCATTTACACTAGGCTAAGAAATCATCACTTCAACAGGGCAGCCCTTTGAAAGGAACTACGCAAGTCTGTTTCTTAAGGGGGGACACGGGCTCCAATTCCCGATTTTTTTTTTTAAAAGTGCATTTTTCAAATTTGTTATAACTAATTTCAGAAACTAATAATGCACCCTTCCATAAAATTTCATGCCTGTACGTCGAGTATTTAAGCCGATATAAAAGATTTTCGACAGGTCGGCGACGCGCCTCCTATCCCCGAGTCGTTCCGTCGCGCGATCGGTTGACAATATTCGCCATTTTCAAATGCCGACCGCTCCGCGCCCATTTGGCCTACCGCGATGTTGATACCCTCGTTGGAAGCGTCGTTTCTTCGGGCTTTTATGACGATAGTAAACTTCGTTCGAGAGTAAGCATGAACAAAGCCAGAGCCCTCTAGTTGTCGGCTATAATTGGCTTGAAAACGAAACTCAAGCCTGGATTGGCCCGTGACACCCCACGTGATCCGCTCGCCCGAATTATTGTTTCGTCTCGTTGCTTCGGCCGAACGTTCGCTTCTTTTGCTTGCTCGTTATATATTTCTCACAGTTTTATCGTTTTATCTACGGTCTCGTCGCCGCGATGCCGGCCGTTAAACGGCATTCCCTCCAAGCCTTTGGAGCTCGCCGCCGTTCTGTGAAACCAAGAGGCTCGTCAGGTGGACGCGTACGATGCGCTAACCCTAACGGAACCACGTCGGACGCGTCGGCTGCTTCGCTCCCGAGCGCGTCACCATCTCCCGGTTCGTCGCTTCAGGACCTGACCTCTGAACAACCAGCCGACGTTTCTTCGTCTCTTCCTGAAGATTATGAGGTTGTGGAGGAGCTCACGGCGATAGAGCGCAAGATCTCGCTACTGCAAGAGAGCGATCCCGCTGCGGATCCCACGGACGCTCCCGCTGCTCCCGACGGTGCCCCAACCGAAGGTTATCGTCTGGTTGCTTTATCTGCCATCGAGACACTGGTGTCCGCTCTTCTGTGCCCGGTGTGCTGTGGATCAGACCTTCAGCTAAGCGAGAGTGGCAAGGGAGTTCAGGCGCAATTCGTCGTCGTCTGCCCAGACTGCGGGGACGTTGCTCGGACGCCGCACTCGTCGACCATCGGACACTCGCGGCAGAATGAATTGGCAGCACGGATTTCTCTTGCGTCTCGTGAATGTGGAATCGGATACACGAAGCTTACGAACTTTTTTGCCGGTATCAATGCTCCTTCGCCCATGCATCTCCGATCTTACCAAGATCTGGGAGAAAAGGTCCACGACGCCTCAGTGAGAGCAGCCAGCAACGTAATGAGCAAGGCAGCAGAAGCTGTACGAGAAACACGCGAGTCAGATAGCGGTGATTTGATGGACGTTTGTGTGACATACGATGGCACTTGGCATAAGCGTGGGCACACTTCACACTTTGGTGTTGGAGTTGCCATCGAGCTTGAGACTGGACTAGTTTTGGACTATTCTGTCCAGAGCAATTATTGCCATGGATGTAGCCTTGGACCTGCGCAGGGATCTGACAGCCATGAAGACTGGGCCGAGAATCACAGGGCAGTATGCCAGAAGAACTTTGCTGGGTCTGCAAATGCGATGGAGCTGCAAGCAGCAGACGAGATCTTCCGTCGGTCCGTCCAACTCCACAACCTGCAGTATGTGACAGTGCTGTGCGACGGGGACAGTAAAGCCTTCAACCATGTTGCGGGACTTGATCTTTACGACAAGGGCATGAGGAAAGAAGACTGTGTGAACCACGTCGCCAAAAGAATGTATGCTGGCATGGAGGCCCTAAAGAAAACAAAAAAAGGTCTCGGTGGAAGGGGCAAACTAACGAACCTTGTCATGAAGAAATTGACCAGCTACTATGCATCTGCACTGAAGACCAGTGCCCCAGACGTTCCAGCCATGCAGAAGGCAGTGTTTGCCAGCCTCCTCCACAGCTACTCCACCGATGAAGAGCCCCGGCATCAGGCCTGCCCTCATGGAGAACATTCCTGGTGTCACTTCAATCGCCAGAAAGCGCTGGAGGCAGCAGGAGAGCCGACGAAGCCACAGCCACACCGCCCTGCCTTCTCCAGAGACATCGCAAAGGAGTTGGTGCCCCTCTACAATAGACTCTCAAGGCAGGACCTACTCGAGAGGTGTGCTAGGATGGGAACGCAGAACAACAACGAGTCGTTCAATGCTCTGGTGTGGAGGCGGTGTCCCAAGACGGATTTCGCCTCTCGAAGAACTGTGAAAACTGCCGTGGCTCTTGCCGTCCTGGAATTCAACCTGGGCCCCAAGGGCTTTGAGAGGGCCCTTCATGAAATGGGAATCGAGCCCGGAAGCCACCAGGTTCAGCACGCTGACAAGGCCCTCCAAGTCAAGGTCTCCAAGGCGAAGCAGAAGGCCCTCAACTCTTCGAAAGTGGCCCATAAGCAAAGGAAGCTGGCAGCAATCGCCAAGGCACAGAGGGACCAGGCAGCTGAAGGGGAGACCTACTCTGCCGGCGCCTTTTAGTGGACACAGACTGGGCCAAACTAATAAAGTAAAGGTGCTCAATGTTTGAATGCGTTTTTCTCAGTTTCACTTTTTTGCTGCAAACTTTGTAGCAAGGAATCTATCGTTTGATGGTAAACATATCCAGGTTCCTCGTTCAAAGTGTTTCTTAACTGAAATTTACTGGGGAATTGGGCTATCTACTTCATTTTGTTTTAAGTTGAAGTCATCACTGAGAAAAAAAGACATTTTGGCAAAATGGCATTCAAAGAAAGTGCATATGATTTTTGGAGACAGAATTTCTCTCCGAAATATTTACATTTTAATCATACAAATTAGATAGCCCAAAGCCACATACCCTCTACTTCATATCCAAGCAATAAAAACAGTGGTTTAACATTTCATTTTCATACGATAGATTTCCTAAGGAAAGGTGCCACAGCCTCATACACAAATATGTAACTTTTTACATAATTCTCCTATAGAAGTCAAAGTTTGCACAGTGCCCCTGCATCTGCTCATAAATGCACTCTCCAAATTTCATTAAAATCGGACGAGGAGTTCAAAAGTTAATAATTACGCCAGTGTCTCCCCTTAAGGGAACATGCTACTCGGAGGCACACTTTTTTTAATTTTTGCCCGAGGACAATGAAACTTTAGATATTTATAGAGTTTTGCCTGTTCTTTTCAGAACTGTAATCAGTTTTAATGTGGCTCATATAGTTTTTGTTTAGTGCCACACCCAACGACAGAAAAGAGTATTTTTTGTGCACACGCTCCAACATAGTAATTTTTCACAAGGAGCATTGGGCATTAGCTCATTTTGCTCTTTATGAAGTGTAGATTGCAAATAACTAGTCAGAAGCTGTGCACTACTTTCCAATCTTGAAAGAAAAAAAAATATCTTGGTAAAACTTCTATTCTAAAACCCCTTTACAGGTTATTTTCATGTTTTTATAAATATAACAGAGATATTGCAGTTTCAAATACATACCTGCACTCTACATATACCCAAGATCATAGGTGCAAAGTTTCATTGAAATGCGAAGATTCTAAGTGCCAAAAATGGAGCGCACAAACTGTGACGATTGCCCAAAATTGCAAAATGAGAAAAGTGCATTTGAAAGTTCAAAATATGTGTACTCATCAATATAAGTGAGATATTTCAATTTCAAATACATACTAGCATTCTGCATACTGTAATGATCATAGGGACAAAATTTCGTTATGATGTGAATACTCTAAGTGCCAAAAAAGAAGCGCACAAACTATGAAGATTGCCCGAAATTGCAAAAAGAAAACACATCTGAAAGTTCAAAAGATGTATTCCCGTCAAAGAGCAACAGTAATTACACAAAACTTGGCTGGAGCGGGGTGCCTAGGGAGAATGCAGAGTGTCTAAAAGTCTCCTGCACTGTACGTTGTTCCCTCATGGTCCTTGCGGCTAGAGTCCTCGAGACCGGCCTTCGTGACCATGCTGCGGCGATGGGCTCGTGCCTCCGCTGTCTGCCGGGCAGACATTCTCCGGATCCGTAGATCGTCACGGGAGTCGCCAAGTGTGAGAAGTCCTTCAGATGGAAGCACTCCGAGCTCCTCCAAGACATGTTCGAAGCTTGCATGCCCCCTATTGAACCACAGGACTGCTATCGCTGTGGCCGTTTCCACGACCGCCCGGGAGGCAAACCTTGTCTTTGGGCAGAGCAGCCAGATCTTGCTGTTCAGGGACTCAGCAGCATTCTGGGTTTTCCCTCGGATGCAGCGGGCCAGCAGCTTCTCGTCAGTCAACCGTCTGTAGATGGGGAGCACTGCCTTCCCCTGGGCCTTGGTCAGGGTTGGGGTGTGGTCTGGCGCAGGCTCTCCCAGGGCTTCGGCTCGTTTGTGTTTACACCAAGACGTCGTTCCCTCTGGGCAGAACTTGTGGCTGTGAGCAGTGTTCGTAGAGCAAGAGTGGAAGTAGGATGCCCATATGGCACAATACATGCCGCGGATGTCGGCTCTGTTGCTTATCACTGCTATCTGGTAGTATGTTTGAAGCTTCTGGATGGTGCCGTCCTTGAGCTTCTCCCCACGTGGTAGCGGAGTCTTGAGTTTGCGAAGGCCAGTGCCAAGACGCTTCGCCACATGGTTAGTGCAGTCTTCCTTCTCAATTGCTGCTCCATCATACACGTCGGCCTGGGACACTGCTGTGAACGCCTTGCTATCTCCATCGCTCAAAAACTTTGTAAAGCGCAGTGACGTCTTGTAGGATGGGGTTCTCTGCCATATGCGGACTGCTGCCTCCGTCTCCATGGCATGGGAGGAGCACTCAACATTCCTCTGACAGTCAACACTATGAAATGCCTGCCAGGCCTCTTCTTCTTCACCCAAGTCTTGGTGCCGACTACATGTAAGGCAGTAGTTTGACAAAACTTCAAAATCCAAACACAGACCAGTGTCCACAGACACGGCTGTGCCCACACCGTTGTGGCTCTTGTGGCCCCTCTTCTGCCAAGTACCATCAAACATTACGGCGACATCCGCTCCACCCACCTCCTCTTTGGTCAGGAGCCTGGCCTTCTCAAGGTTCTGACTGGCGGCTGTCATGGCAGCGTCATGAACCTTCTTGCCGATCGAATTGAAGGTCTTATGGTGCATAGGCTTCGGCAGGCCGAGAATAGCACAGAAGCGTGAGAGCTGCTCGTGTCCGGCTCCTATCGCACGCGTGGCCACTACAGCCTTCACATTGACTGCAAAACCGTCGCGCGAGCTCCCACTGTCGTGGCGTCCGTTCGCGCTTTCGGCTCCACTGGGGGTGACACGTTTTGACACTGGGGGTGACACTGGGGGTGACACGTTTTGACACTGGGGGTGACACGTTTCGTCAACATTTAAACGTTGACGAAAGAACTGACTCTGGGCACTCGCTGTTCTCACAATGCAGTTCGAGGAACGACGCAAGTCCCTTACGCTTCTCCGCCGACTCCCGAACGGAGAGTTTGCCTTCGTGACAAGCGGGGCAAGTCACACCGCTCACTAGTGTCGTCAGTGCACCAATGTCACACACCACTGCACTCGCAGAGCCATCGCCGCTTCGTCTCTCTTCGTGTTCGAAGAACCCGATTTTTTTTTCCGAAGCACTGACAAACGTGAACGCAGCGTCAACTGGGTCGATCTCTTCGGAGCCGCCGGAACAGTCATCGTTGCTGGGGTTAGGCCTATCGGGCAGCGGTAAACTTTGCGCCGTTGGCGTTCTCCGGTTGAGTTTGCGCCGCCTTCCTTGGAACTTGTACTTGCTCCGGAACTTTCGAACAGTAAAATCGCGCTTTTTAGAGTTGTCCATCGCAAATAAAGTCGGAAAAACGTAGAAACACTGTAGTTCTTGTTTGCGACGTAGCGACGCGAGAGCAACACCCAGGCTTCGCTCCTGTCCCGCAAGCCGCTCAGCCAATGGCGGTCGCGCGATGGGACCACGTGATTTAAAGGTCCAGTCAGGGTGTATGATAGACAGGTGGGGAAACGGCCCATAGAAGCCTACCGCAGCGCCGTGACCGGATTGTGTACTCGTCTGCTTGCGGGTACCCCCGGTTTGCGACAGATGGCGCTGCGGCGAAAAGAAAAAAGTCGGAATCGGATTTGCATGGAACTTTATGGGAGAGTGCCCAAAATAAACCGAGATCACGACAGTCCTCCATTGAAAATTCACGAGGAACCATCTCCGTCAGTTTAGCCGGTCGCCACCGGTCACCCACCCGGAGTGAGAGTTCGCGGTGCTCCACATAGATGGCGCCACAGAAAAAGAGAAAACCGAGAGGGACACAATCCGGTCGCTCATTTGACTCTCGTTTCGCCACCTGTCTATCTTACACCCTGGGTCCAGTAGAGACGCGCGAAAGACGCGGCAAAATGCGCAGTTTGTTATTATTGGCCGAGGAAATACGAAACTGACGGATGTTTCGCCAGCGAGAGGAAGGTTGTCGCTACCTGCCCAAACATTAGCAATGGCGGACGGCGCCGCTATCGCGAGTTGGAGCCGCTCAAAGATGGGCGAGATTCGAAAAATTTAGCGATTTCTCGGCCTGCCGCGAATTGTTCAGACGCGGTTTTCATAAACTTTTCGTACAAATATTGTTCTGATTTTTTTATACGTAAATATAGGATGTATGAAGATAATAAAACAAGCACAAACGAAAAATCGGTAATTTTCGGGAAAAAGTCGGTTTTTCGACCCGCATGTCCCCTTAACGTTTTGCACTACAATTTGCAACAGCGGTGCCCGCAGGGAGTGTGGTGGTGTATCTGGAGAGCTACATTTTCAAAGAAACAACTTAATTGAGTAAAAGTTTAAAAGTCTGAATGCTTTTCTCTACATATGGTGTTTGTTTGCTTATGGCACACATCTGATTGTTGCAACAGCTGATAAATTGCAGCAGCAGTTCAATATAAAAAACTCGCATAGCATTTTTGGTTTGGAAAGACCATCTGCTTTGACCGAGGGGGCCGTATGTCGGCTGTTTCGCCAGCCAGACTTGTGACGTTGGGCGAATGCTGCAGATAAGGAGAAGACATTTCTATTTTTTAACTTTCTTGTCAGGTAAAGCCATTCATTGAAATTTGGATGGAAAATTTCCTCACCCGCGGACACCAGTGTCGTAAATTGTAGCACAGTACATTAGGACAACAATTTATACAGTTCCTTTGAAGTGCCCTGTATGTAAGATGTGCACCAATTTTTTTTTGTGGCAGTTCGCTATCGATTCAATATTCTAACAGCCATTCTGGCATTTCAGTTTCGTGATACTTTATACAAGATGTATTTGTCACGCTTGTTTACACTACTCTTTTCTATGTAGTTCATGCATTTTTTCCTGTATTAAGCAAGTTCAGAGTCTCTGATGTCACTTGCTTTTAGTATAAATTTAGCTATTCAGTGCTCGACTGCTATCGTAGTCTTTGTGCATTATTTAATGTAGATGTCTGGTCTTGCTGACCTTGGTCACATGGCAATATTTTTTCTAGATTTTGCCAAAGTAATTCTTTTGTACGACTTGCATACAATCATTATACACTGTTGGCACCTAAGCTGAAAGGGGGTTAGTCATTTTTACTGGCATTACTGTACTGCAACTTGCATTTTTAGTACTTGGCATGTACTGCTTTTATGCCTTGCCATAACTGTATTTCAGTTTTAGATGTGTTATTTTTTTATAATTAACAACTCTAGTGCAATACTGTGATAACATATTCTATGTTTCTGCAATTCAAAGGAAATGTTTGAGTGATATGCAGAAGTAAGCATTCTAGTGAAATACTGTGATAATATGAGGGGGCATCAAAACGTTTCTGAACTGGCATCACTGAACAAAAACAAAACAAGTACAGCAGTGTGACACCAGCTGACACTTCCTGACAAGCTTGCAGTCTGTGCCGAAATTTACTATGCAGGGCGAGAGTGATCTCTAGCTGTGCTTGTTTGTTCAGAAGGGATTTTGCAACTTTCTCACTGTGAAACACAAATAAAAAACTCGAGCCACGTCCATACATAATTTTCTGTGAAAATTGAGAAGAACACTTCAGAAACTCAGAAACTCCGTCAGCAAGCATTCGGTAACTGATCTAGGTTACAGAAATCTGTAAGTGGCATGTACATTTTAAGTGAGGCTGAGAATCGCTTGGAAACAATGAATCAAGAGGATGCCCTCCAACAAACCTAACATTTGAAAATGCAGAAAAAATCCTCGTTAATTCAGTAACACTGTCTGAGAACGATTTCGGACATTGCTGAACAACTCAACATTATTTATGGTTCAGCGATATCCGAAATGCGCTTCCGACGGTCTTCGTGAAATAACACATAGATTTTTTTCGGCATTCTGAAATGTTATGTTTCTCGGAGGGCATTCTCTTCATCGTCTCCAAGGAATTCTTGGCCTTGCCTAAAATGTCCATGCCACTCACTTATACATGTTTCTACTAAATCATGGTCACCAAATGCTTGGTGAGGAGTGTGTGGTATTTTGACATGTTCTTCCCAATTCTCACAGGAAATTAGATGTAAGCGTGAAGTTTGAGCTTTTTATTTGCCTTATGCGGTCAGAAAGTTGTGAAATACCTTTTAAACAAACAAGCACAGCTCGTAATTCATTTTGGCACCACACAATGACTGGCAAGCCTGCTAGGAAGGGTCAGGTGTGTTGCACTGTGGTGCTGCATTTTCTTTTTGTTCAGTGGTGGCTGTTCAGATACTTATTGATGCCACCTCATATGTTATGTCTCTGTCTTTGCTTTTTACATTGAAATAATAAAGCTTTATTTGTTTCGAGGCTTGTGTGGTCTTATCCCACTGTAGTGTAAATTAGTACACCAGTATGAAAATATACAATGTCCTATATATCTCCTAATAAAGTCCAGGAAACATCCTTTCCTGGACATCCTGAGGACGTCCTTTGGTGTTTCACTTCGGATGTCTTCTGGACATTATTCGGACATCCGCAGGACGTCCCTAATGTCCCAGTCGGGACATCCTTTGGATGTCCAGCGGATGTCTGTGTGTTGTCTGGGAAGGTGAATTTGCCATTTGCGAAAATACAGAGACCTACCCAGCGAGAACCAGGAAAGCAAGACACGCACACTGACGCCTCGGCGTGCAGAATGAAACAGGATACGGGCGCAGAATACGGCCGCGGAAGAACACCTCGCACAGTGCCGATCCGGCCGATCTCCGAACGGACGATTTCGCATTTCGTGGACAGCGAGCGCCACCGCATGGGAGAGAGAGGTACCTTAAAAACGACGAAAACAAGCACCGACACCTTGGTTCTTTATATTTCCTGTAGTTATGGAACAAATCGACTTACATGAATAATTTGAATATTATTCGATTCCGTAATAAATTTAGAAGTCACTAAGCGCAATACTTCTTATGTTTGAATTTAGATAATTTTGTAAATTCGCTCCGAACGCAAGAGTGCCGAATTAGCCGATTTTGACCATTTTCATGATTTTTTAAAGAATATAATTAAATTTATGATGAAACATTTGTTGCGCTTAGTGTCTCGATAATGACTCAATGTCTTTAAAGCCGAAATTTTCAAGAAGATCCGTGCAGCCGTTATTATGTGAGAATTTTTTTAATTTGGTGAAAAACCTCATGTATTTTCTATGGGGCTCTGAGGTGCGCCCCCTCTTAAATTGCAAACGCTCTCCAGGTTTTGAGTTGCGCCCACCCTCACTACAGCCTCCCTAGGCCCAAGCGGAACCAACAGAGACACCTCGGAGCTGGCGGTGTTGAACACCATCCACCCAGGACTTCGTGACGGAACAGG